AAAAGGCCTTGGGTTCAGTCCCAAGCATCTCTAGCGGAAGGGTCCTGCCTGAAATTCTGGGGAGTCAAAACCTCTAATGAGCCAATGGTCTGAATCAATATAAACCAGCTTCATTGAAAATCTAAGCAAATAAACAATGGTAAACACACCTTCTTAGGTTGCTTAGATGCTTGTGTTTGTTTCCAGAGCCGTTTCTTCTCAGAGACTCTTCATGTGATATTAGAGGCCTGCCCGCTAATTATACCACTGCTTAATTTCACAAAAGGCTTTGCATAAGGGTCTCCCACGGAATCCAGTGCCTCGGGAACAGTTGCTCAGAACTGTCCAGCATTCTTTGCTTTTAATGCAAGCCAAACAGGCGTGGAAGCAACTGTGCAGAAGTCTGCACTGAGTTCGTATTTCATCCCATTAGCATTAGGAAACCATTATGGATGAAAACTGAAGCATGACTCACGCTTTCCTGACCAGCCTTGGTAATGGACACGAAGAGGAGCCAGAGGCAACCAAAACACTGCTAGAAATGCTCACATTTTTCCAAGTATAACTAAGACAGGAGAGGTGTGACTGCAGTCAAAGCACATTTCATCTCCAGTGAATACAGAACTCCCAGTTCTGCTTTCAATGGCAGACAAGCAACTTCCCCCTTACATTTCTGAAGAGTGTACAGCCACCTTGTGAGACAGGTTTGGGTGCAAGAGAGTGGAAGGTCTCTTGCCGAGATGCAAAAATGAAGTGGCAATGGGAACCTGTGTCTCCCTGGCCGAAGTCAACGTTGTGTCTGCTTCACAGTAAAGATAAAGGTACCCCTGACTATTGGGTCCAGTCGCAGACGACTCTGGGGTTGTAGCACTCATCTCACTTTACTGGCCGAGGGAGCCGGCGTACAGCTTCCAGGTCATGTGTCCAGCATGACTAAGCTGCTTCTGGCAAACCAGAGCAGTGCACGGAAAGGCCGTTTACCTTCCCGCCGGAGCGCTACCTATTTATCTACTTGCACTTTGACGCGCTTTCGAACTGCTAGGTTGGCAGGAGCAGGGACCGAGCAACGGGAGCTCACCCTGTCGCGGGGATTCGAACCACCGGCCTTCTGATTAGCAAGCCCTAGGCTCAGTGGTTTAACCCACAGCGCCACCAGCTTCACCATAGTGGCTCACAAATCATTCAGATGGCCAGCTAGTCACAGCTTCGCACAGCCTGTGCTGAGACTGTTAATGTGGCTGCTCTTTTTGTAGACAGGCCCTGAGTAGTTATCTTCATTCGAAGAATTGTTGGTAACAGTCAAGTCCTTGGAAGCATGAGACCCATTGTAAATGAGACAGTGGAGCCAATTTGGTGCATCACAGGTGTAGCCAAAATGGTACCCTACAGATGTTGAACTCCCATTATCAGCATTGTTGATGGTCGCTGGTGATGGGAGCCACAGTCTAGCAACTTCCAGAGGGCCAAAGGCTCCAAATCTCTGGTGTATTGGCTTGTACAACTTGTGTTCCACCACCAAGCAAAAACAAGTGATCAAACCTTTGGTGACACCCATTCATGGCTGATGAGTCACAATGGCTTCTTGGGTGTACAAGTGGTACCTTGGTTCTCAAACTTAAACCGTTCTGCAAGTCCATTCCAAAACCAAGGCACGCTTTCCCATAGAAAGTAATGCAAAGTGGATTAATCCGTTCCAGGCTTTTAAAAAGCAACCCCTAAAACACCAATTTAACATGAATTTTCCTATCTAACAAGTTGATCCATAAAATGAAAGCAATAATCAATGTACTGTACTATAAAATAAATAAGACAGTATTGTAGATGATAAAAATTAAAATTATTTTTTTTCTTACCTGCACTGATGATTGTCATCGTTTGGATGGGGGGCTTTTATCCATTCTGCAGTCACACAATCAGTCAATCAATCAGTAGCTGAACTGGGTTCCACACAGTCACAAAAACAGATTAACCGAAAAAGCCTCAAAAACAAAAACGCAAATTAAATAACAAAAACAAAAGCACCAAACTTAATCCATTCCTGAAGTCCGTTGGACTTCCGAAATGTTCAAAAACCAAGGCGCAGCTTCTGATTGGAGCACGTGCCCCAGAAACAACAGTCACATCAGACATTTGGCTTCCGAAACGCGTTCAAAATCCGGAACATTTTCTTCCGGGTTTTTGGCGTTTGAGAACCAAGGCATTTGAGAACCAAGGTATATTGGCCAAGCCAGACTAGTGATATGTACAAATATCCACATCTTAAAAGCCCAACAGGGTTCCAACCCTCCAGAGATTTGGTCTTAAGGTCAAATGTGTATTGTTAGATCTATTTGATTATTACAAAACTTGTTCACCCGTGCAAGCAGGACTGGGATAAAACGACACCCAAGGTTAAACTATGCAAGCAAGCAATGAAACAAACAGGGTGCCTGGGAAAGCATATGTTTAAAGGCTTGTTTTGGTACGTCCATGCGTACACTTCCATAGTTTATAGCGTTTATCAGACTCCGTTTGGTTCTCAGTTTCTTGGCAAATCCTGCAGCTTGGAATGTAACATATTTCTCTTGGTTAGACAAAAGGGAAATTATTTTAACAAAGTCATCAGAATTGGCCAAACTGGCACATTTAATTATTTCTAATCACCCTTTGTCTCCATTTAGTTGCTTGTGCAGCGCTGCAGAGACTGCAAGTGGAAGCCAAATACTGGGTGCGTCAAAAGCAGTTTAGTCTCAGACAGGCAGATTCATGCCCAGTTTCCCTACAGGCTGTAGTTAAGATTCCTTCAATTACATGCATGTTCAGGAACTGTACAATTCATGACAAAAGGTGTTGCTGATGCACATGGTATATGGACCTCTGAACTTATTTTAATGTGGCAAAAGCACACACTGGTTTTATGTACACTGTACACTGGTCAGAACTGCTGTGTGGAGATCTCTTTAAAGCACTCCTTGGCAGGGGCCATTATTATGGGATAAGCCTTTCATGAGCAGCTGATCACCATCATTTGGCTGCTTTGCACCAGGCCACAGCAAAGCTTTCAAGGCCGCTCGATACGTCTTTTTATGGTACATTTCTGATGATTTGTGTCCATAATCTTATAGGGACAGTTCTACAGAAGAAGCAAAGATCACCCGTGTCGAAGCAATGATTCTTCAGCATCAGTTTCGTTGGACTGGTCATGGCGGATGCCTAATTATCGTTTTCCAAAGCAACTACAGTGATACCTTGAGTTAAGTACTTAATTCGTTCCGGAGGTCTGTTCTTAACCTGAAGCATTACTTTAGTTAATGGGGCCTCCCGCTGCTGCCGCGCCACCGGAGCACGATTTCTGTTCTCATCCTGAAGCAAAGGTCTTAACCCGAGGTACTATTTCTGGGTTAGCAGAGTCTGGAGCGTATGTAACCTGAAGCGTGTGTAACCTGAGGTACCACTGCACTCTGTTCTGAACTTAAAAATGGAAAGCTTAATGCTGGCGGTCAACAAAAGAGGTTTAAAGACTCAAGGCAAATCTTTAAAAATGTAGTATAAACACCGACAATTTGGAAACACTGGCCTGCAAGCTCTCCAATTGGAGAACAGCCTTTACCAAAGGTGTCATGGGCTTTGAAGATGCTTGAACTTGGGACGAAAGGGAGAAACTTGCTAAGAGGAAGGCATGTCTGGCAAACCCTCACCGTGGTCAACTCCTGCCCAGAAACCTATGTCCCCACTGTGGAAGGACGTGTGGATCCAGAATTGGCCTCCACAGTCACTTACGGACTCATTTTTTAAAATGTATCTCTGGGTTATTTGTGGAGCCTGCCTGGTGTTTTTACATGAGCAGAATGTGTGCTTTTATTTAAAACGCATCTCTGGGTTATTCGTGGGGCATAGGAATTCCTTCATTCCCCCCCCCAAAAAAAAATATACAGTGGTACCTCGGGTTACATACACTTCAGGTTACATACGCTTCAGGTTACAGACTCCGCTAACCCAGAAATAGTGCTTCAGGTTAAGAACTTTGCTTCAGGATAAGAACAGAAATCGTGCTCCGGCGGCGTGACAGCAGCAGGAGGCCCCATTAGCTAAGTGGTGCTTCAGGTTAAGAACAGTTTCAGGTTAAGAACGGACCTCTGGAACAAATTAAGTACTTAACCTGAGGTACCACTGTATAGGCCGGCCCCCAGAAGATCTGAGGGACAGTGGACTGGCCCCCTGCTGAAAAAGTTTTCTGACCCCTGCACTACACTACTGAGTCACTGAAACTAGCTGAGACTGAAGCCACTACGAAACCAGGTGTATCTTTGTTGGCAAAGGAAAGCAGATAAAACCCGGAGTCACAATGATTCAGTGATTTCCCACTCCTGACCCTTGGAGGATGTTACTGGGTAAGGCTGGTATTTTTGCTTTGTCGTCATATGGTATTTGTTAATCATTACTGGCGAAACTGCTCTTCCAAACCGTCTGCTCAGCCTGTCATTCTTCCTTCCAGCTTTCTTCTACAGCAGCTTGTTTACAATCATTCCTACATGAGAATAAGAAAGAGAAGTATGTGGCTTGCATTTATTTATTTTTTGTAAGTGCCAAAAAAGTACTTGTCACTATATTAAGCCCAGAGAGGCCACACGTCCCCAAAGGAAACCGAGCTGGCTGGATCTAGTCATGTTGGAGTCTTTGGGGTGGTTTATGCAGAAAGGCTGGGCAGTGAATTCCTCTCCTACACAGATTGGAGTCTGTTGCAAATGATTTATTTACACTGGAGTGAACAAGCTGAGCAGCTTCTTTTCATGCAGGCAGCAAGGAGGGAGGAAAGTAGGGTAGAAAGGGGGTGACATAGATAAGAGGGGTTCACTACCCACTTTTGACTCTGGCTCCACTCACTGCTATCTTCAGTCCTGTCTACTACCAGCATTTAAACCCTTCCCCCTGTCCAAACCCCCAGGCAAGAAGTTGACTCACATTGTGATAAGAGATGACGGCTATGTGTCTGACACATTGTTGGCTGAGAGATATGGTAACTACGCGCTCCAAATATTAATTCAGTAATTTTTGAGGACTGAAATAACTGAAGAAGATGCCTTTGCTGGACTTGATGCGATGAGAATGCACACTTTTATCATCCCATGGGCTCTCTGCAGGTAAATATGGAGAGCTCAAGGTTATATTCTTATCCCACACACAAAACAAACAAGGTAAATGACTGTATTTTTTGCCCTATAGGACGCACCGGCCCATAGGACGCACCTAATTTTTTTGGGGGGGGGGAAATAAAGGGGGGAAATTATTTTTCCCCCGGGCGCGGGGCTGGGGCAGGGGAAGCCCGAGCTTCCCCCGACCCCAGCCCCCAGAACATGCAGCTCTCCGCAAGCGTGGGAGCCCAGCGCCGGGCTCCCACACCTTGCGGAGAGCTGCGCGAAGCTAATCCTGGGCGCGCTGCGCCTCCGCGCTGTCTCCCAAGCTTGCGGGGCTGGCGGCAGGGAGAAGCGGGCTTCTCCCCGCCGCGAGCCTCCAAAACACGTCGGGAGACAGCGGGATGGCGGCATTCCGCCTCCCCGCTGTCCCCCGAGCTTGTGGGGCTGGTGGTGGGGCTCTCCTGAAGCCTGGAGAGCGAGAGGGGTTGGTGCGCACCGACCCCTCTCGCTCTCCAGGCTTCAGCGAAAGCCTGCATTCGCCCCATAGGACGCACACACATTTCCCCTCCATTTTTGGAGGGGAAAAAGTGCGTCCTATAGGGCGAAAAATACGGTAATGCCAAAGTGCCTTATGTCAAACTGTCTTTCTGAATTCTCTCTTGATCTGCTCGGTGGTTCAGATCCTTAATGGCTCATTATCTGTCGGGGAGAGAACAGCTAAATGGATGCTCCGTGTTAGCAAGAATACACACAAAACCACTTTGTCGCTTGGCCAGACTGCGCTTCCAAGGGCCCACCCACACAACCCAAAGGACAATCTGGAAGGCACTGCCAGAATCCTTCAAAGAAAGCAGCTGCAACAGCCAGGCATGTGGGTCTTGTTCCTGCGTTGTGATGCTAAGGCCTTGCCCTGTTCATCTTTTGTGTGCTGATCCCGGAACAAAACTGGACAGAGAGTGCCATCAGGGCCCCAGGTCAGGACATTCACCAGGTGTTAAGATTAGCGAGGAATGAATCTATCCTTTGCAGTTTCTCCCAGTTTTTAAACTTCCCATTCTTTAATTCAGTTTTCCACAGCAGCTTGCATTTTTTTAAAAAAGGAATCATTATGAAAAATCAGCAAATTTTAGTGCAAATCTTTTCCTAATATACGTGTTCTGCACAAGAATTTTCCAACGATAATAATTTTTTAGATATGCTGTAAGCTGCCCAGAGTGGCTGGGGAAACCCAGCCAGATGGGTGAGTATAAATAATACAATTATTATTAATATTAATATCTCATCCTTCCTCTCAAAGGCACCCATGGCATTTTTTATTTTTCCCCAATAAAAAATGCATTTTTATGCATACTTTATGCTAATACAGTGGTACCTCGGTTTTCGAATGTCTCCGTTGACGAACATTTCGGTTTTCGAACATCGTAAACCCGGAAGTACCGTAAATGCTTTGGTTTTCGAACACGCCTTGGAAGTCGCACATGCCACGCAACTTCCGTACTCAGTTTTCAGTTTTCAAACATTTCAGAACTCAAACAGTCTTCCAGAACGGATTACATTTAAAACTGAGGTACCACTGTATATGCATTTTTCTACACATTACTTAGTTGGCAAATTTCACTGTAAATTTTCAAGGAGTGTGAATTTCAAAGAGTATATTTCGTTTTGAGAAATGTGTGTGGGTAAGTTTGCCTTTAAATACAAACTGAATCAAATTTATCCCCCATCCCTCTTGATGGTTTCATCTCTTTTAAAGTATGAGGAATGGCATCCTGGGCGAGGGCTTCCCTCGTGGAAGCCTCTGAACAGTACAACTCCCTCCCCGCAAAGGTGTGTTTAGTAAAGGGCCATAGTAACTCAGTGGCAGGACATCTGCTTTGCATGCAGAAGGTCTCAGGTTCAATCCCTGGCATTGAATTGGAAGGGATGGGAGAGACTTTCTGCCTATAACCCTGGGAAGTAGCTGCCACCATAGCTGTCAAGCGTCCCTTATTTGGCGGGACAGTCCCTTATCCCAGCGCCATGTCCCGCTGCTGTCCCTTATTGATGATGTCCCTTAAATAAGCTACTGAATGTAATGGGGCCCTTTCTATGTCCAGCTGTCCTTTGTCAACAACAAATTGTTGCTGTTTTTTGTGTTGAATATATTCTATATGGTAATTTATGGATCTAACAGGTATCTAAAGCCATTTGCATGCAACAAAATATGTATTTTATGAAAGTTATTGTTGATCCCTTATTTTGGCTGCTGATCCCTTATTTTCGAGGCTGCTGGTCCCTTATTTTCAAATCTGTAAATTGAGAGCTATAGCTGCCACTCAGGGTAGATAGTGTGTCTGGCTCAGTAAAAGCAGCTTCTTATGCACCTTCCTTGTATAATTTTTACCACATGCTGAAGAAGCACCTCTTTACCCCGGCCTTTGACAGTTAAGATACTTAGTTTTTATGGGATCCACCTCTTTGGCTGAATTTATATTGTTCTGTTCCATTTGGAATGGTTTTATGCGTCATGGGTTTTTGCTGTTTTCATAATTGCAGGTGCTATTGTCGTAACCTGCCCTGGGACCTGGCAGTGAAGGGCATGTAAGGAATCCTGCACATATATACACAAAAGAAAGAAATAACATGTGAGCAGGGATTTTTCTTGCATTATGAAATCCAGACCCGGCCCAACATTATTATTATTATTGGCCACAGATGGGCTGGTCTCTGCCTGTTGGTGCAATGCGTGCAGTGGCTGAAAGCTGGAGACAAAAAAGGAACATGCACTGCTTATTTATTAATTTCACTTATGAATGGCATCCTTGTGAATGGCTTCAAAGTGGTTTCACAATGGAAGAAAAACATATACAAAACAATTGCATATATAAGAACAGTTAAAACACACAATGAGTCATGATTTAGCAGCACTTTTATGAAACAACAAGCAGATTACAAAAACGTTAACCATTCTATATTGTATTTTTAATTAGTTAATTATCATTGTTAGGATGATTAACTATTATTAAGTATTAAGTATTGTTACTATTATAAACATGACCCAGGGGGGGAAATATTATAGTTTTCTGCAGTCCTATATACTTTGTTTTATTCAATAATTTAAAAAATCAAAATAAAAACTAAAAAGTTACATATATGAAAACAATTTCAAATCCAATGCAGCTACTGGTTGTATTTATTATTACACATATTTTTAGCTTTATTCCTATATTTGTATGTGTTTCTATCTAGAGAAAAATAGGCTAGGTTGCTTTTCCTCTTATTTTAATCTTATAATTGCTGTAATTAAAATTGCACTGCAGAAATTTCCATTTCTGATCATGGTGTGTTCAGGAGTGTTTTGGGGTGTACGGGGTGTTAGTAGAGGGGACACGTCATGCTTCTTCTGGGGTAGTTTGTCCACCTTTGGTCCCCACCCTGCACTCAGCTCTCACCTGTGGCTCCTAGAAGCTGTCAGCATGCAACATCGTCACACCCCGGGGAATGGCTTTGACTGGCTGGCTAAACCAGGTAAGGGTAGCTGATGGGTCTCAAACCCTCAGTGAGTTAGGCATTTCCTCCACATGTGAAGACATCTGCCAGTAGATTGAGCGGACGAGACCAGTCGTGGGTCCAATGGTCAAGAAGGTGTTTTCTGCACGTGCTGTAGAAGGAAGTGATGTGCAGATGGGCCTTGTGAACCTGGGAACATAGCCCATCTAAGAGAAGGAAAACTGACCCTAAAGCTCTGCTGCCTTGCAGGTTGTCTTCAGGAGAAAAGGCTAAGGATGGCACCTTGTACGCAACTCCTGCAGCCAAGCTGGAGCCAAACGCATGGCTCTGCTATCCTTTGGACCACATCAGCTGAGGACCTCCCTGCATACTGTCCTGGATTCTGCAATGGGGAAGTCACTTTGGTGCTGCTAACACAGTGATTTGACTTCACCCCTGAGGGCACACTCCATTGTCTCTCGAGACAGATGGATGCCAACAAAAGGGGTGTTTTTGGTGGTGGTGATGAATCACAGCAGGGGAAGGGAGAGCTAGCTCTCTTCTCCCCAGTTGTAACCTCTTTACCCAAAATCACCACCCCCATTTTGTAGTCAATATAAAAAGCCTATACAGTGGTGCCTCGCAAGACGAAAAGAATCCGTTCCGCGAGTCTCTTCGTCTTGCGGTTTTCTCGTCTTGTGAAGCAAGCCCATTAGCGGCTTAGCGGGCTTAGCGGATCAGCTGATAAGCGGCTTAGCGGATCAGCTGATTAGCGGCTTAGCGGATCAGCTGTTAAGCGGCTTAGCGGATCAGCTGATAAGCGGCTTAGCGGATCAGCTGTTTAGCGGCTTAGCGGATCAGCTGATAAGCGGCTTAGCGGCTTGGGAAAAGGGGGGGGGCAGGGAAAAAAACCCTGCAGGAACTCGCAAGACATTTTCGTCTTGCGAAGCAAGCCCATAGGAAATTCGTTTTGCAAAGCACCTCCAAAATGGAAAACCCTTTCGTCTAGCGGGTTTTCCGTCTTGCGAGGCATTCGTCTTGCGGGGCACCACTGTATATATATATTGTTTCAAATAAAAGGGGAGGGGGAGGGGGATGTTCCAGAGGCCTGTATGCAAAATTGCTAGTTGCCCTATCTTGCTCAGACACAAGCTAAGAGTTTAGTGAAACATTCAGCTCACTTTCATACAATTTAACTTGCATGGGAGGCAACTCATCACTAGGAAAGCACAAAAAACGGATTGTTCTGGCATCTGCATTGCTGCAGTTCTGTTGACGTGAACAGAAATGGCGTGGACAATCATTTACGCCTCACCTCAGTCCTGGAGAGCAGTTTTTGAATTGTTTCTGGAGGAGAAATGATACTCAGAAGTAGGGTGGTCAGGTCAGGAGCTCGGGGGAAGAGGATTTGTTCTTACACAAAAACATATTTAACAACTCTGTATATTTTGTTCAATACAACTGCCCCCCTTTAAACTAAGAATCACTTGGGCCTAAGGAGCAAAGTCCCAAACCAGATGTGACAAATGGGAAGTTTTTTATTTTGAAGAAAAAACAGACACAGGGCCCCATTCTGGAATGTGTTTCTGTTCCAGGTTGGTGTCCTGCCAAAAATCACTGAACTAGGTGCTATTTACCCCAGAAAGTCTTGTTTACTCCAAACAGTCCCTTTGAGGGCAAAGTAGCTATGGGAGGAGGTTCAGCAGAAAATTGGCACAGACCCCCAAGTTCATTCCAGGTTGGGGTTCTTTCTTCAAAATAAAAGTATCCAGTTTAAGTGCATACTTCTCTTAACATGTAGTTTGGCACTGAAATGTAAAGCCGTTGGGATAAAGATATACAGCTTAGAAGAGGCTGAGCAATAGGCTCATGCATGCAGAAGAAGTCTGAGATATTCATTAGATACACAGTTGAAGTGGAGCCTTTATTCAATGCCTGTGATATTACCCCCATATTTGGGTGGGGGATGGGGAGAGAAACCAGCACAGGTAGATCTTCAAGTAGATCTTGGAGATGTAATTAAAGATTGCCTCTCGACATATGGAAATATAAACATACTGAGATTTTTCAGAAATATATTGTAAATAGTATAGAAGTGATCTTCATGTATGAAATTCTATGAGGGATCATTGCAATCCGTGGATAATTATAATTACCGTATGTGTTCTTATTATTTTGTTGTACAGTTTAAATAACATCCATTTTTTAAAAAATTACTCCCTAGTTTTGCTTTGAGTTCTACCTTAATCTTCCTACTGGAAAAAGTACTGTATATACTTGGTCATATATTTGGGGGGGGAAAAGGCTCAGATTTTTCACCATGTGCCATAGCTGTCAACCTTCCCTTTTTTTGCGGGAAATTCCCTTATTCCAGCGCCGCTTCCCGCTGCTATCCCGGATTGTTAGACAACCAGTAGACTGTCCCCGGGACAGGTGAGGCTGCTGATCTCTTATTTTCAAATCTGAAAGTTGACAGCTATGCCATGTGCACATAAGTAAAGAAACCACCACTTGCATTAGATTCTCAAATTCATGTACTGTACAGTATTCATAATGATATGGCATTTACATCATCTTCTGAACATGTCCACAGAGAGGTCTCTCGGAGGCAGAGGGACAATGCATAAAGTAGGCCTGAAGGCCATTTCAGTGTTACATAGAAAATACTTGTACGTAGGAAAAAGCATGTAACCCTTGTATAAATAATTGCACATGAGAATTACATGTACACCAAGATGCAACAATACTGTGTGGCCACAGAATACATGTACAACATGGTCACATATGACAATCCACATGAGGGCTGCCTGTTTTTTACTCCACAGCTGTGCCTTCTGCTCAAGAAGAATTAAAGCTATCTTAACTCGGCCAATTATAAGAGTCCTTCACATGGTTTTTAGATCCGTCCTTGTTTTTTAGCAAAATGGTTAATTCCCCAAATGAGTTGTAATTATTCCTTTTGTTTTCAGTTAATGGGTATTTTATCATCTTGAATTATCCCACTCTGAGTCATGCCCCTGGGTAATTTGCCCGCTTGTTAACGCATATTTGGAAACCAGACTGTTCAATCAGAATGACTACTTTGTGATCGTAAGTAACCCTTACCATAATTTATTTATCTTTCAAATGCTTGGATTATTCCGAAGACAATTGTGGCATAACTACAGTAGCACTTCTGCCATTTATGGGCATGCCTTTTATGCAGAAAAAATGGTTTGGCTTCCCATGAAATTTTTGCTAATTTCCTTTTCCTTGGTGGCCTGCGACTCTCTTATTGTACACAGAATCACACTGATGAAACCAAATCCTTTTCCTTGTAAGAACAGGCATGGTTTCCTTCTGAATCATCCCACACTAATTTTAAAAATATGCTGGGAGGGTAAACCCACACAGGTCAAATCACAGCTTAAATCTTAAATCTAATTAAATATCATGTGTAGAGCTGGCATTGTTCCAAGTGAGACTAACATTATTTCTGCCACCTCCCTAAACATACCTGTCTTTCCTTACAGCAAGTCTTTGGGTTGCTCAGTCAAGTTTCTCTGACTTGAGGGAGAGTTTAATATGAATCCATTTATTTTGCTCACTGGAGGAGTGTCTTCACTTATGTTATTATCCTCAGTGATATATCAAAGGTGATAATCTTCCTATGTTATGCTGGGTGAAGTCATAACACAGTTCATTTTGAAGCACAGACATGGCCTGTTAGACTTTACTAGTGTGAAGCACATTCAATGACCAATGAACCCAGTTCCCATTAATGGTACCGGTAATTATGTTTTTCAAATACAGCAGTTGCAATGCTGGAGCCATTATCTGAATCATGGAGATAATGTGTGATAGCCAAGGTAAGTCATACTCAGAGTAGACCCAATGGAATGTAAAGTATCTTGCATTTCAGTGAGTCTATTCTGACTTAGTCGGCTCTCACCTTACATGTTCAATAAAATGGTGACATATCTGACAGCTGTCCTAAGCCTACTTACCTGTGAGTAAGACCCATTGAATTAAATGGGACTGACTTCTGAGAAGAAATGGCAAGGACTATGCTGTTAGTGTTGCTTTCATTCCAACCAGTCTCTCTTATCTCACTGCAATGAAGGAGAGCTCCCTTGCACACAAAATGGGATGGAGGCTTTGCACTGCAATTGCGTTAAGAGTCATAACTAAATGTTCAATACACACCATTAGCTAAAAATGTATATTGACGGATAACCCCAGGGTAGCATTTGCCATTGGTAAGGAAAACACATCACATTTGGTTTCCTTAGTGTTTTGTATTTTAATATTACATTTCAATCTTCTATTTATGCGAATTGCCCACATTTCGTATGCTATTGGATGTCCTACAGGAATATATTAAATACAGTGGTACCTCGGGTTAAGTACTTAATTTGTTCCGGAGGTCCGTACTTAACCTGAAACGGTTCTTAACCTTAAGCACCACTTTAGCTAATGGGGCCTCCTGCTGCTGCTGTGCCGCCGGAGCACGATTTCTGTTCTCATCCTGAAGCAAAGTTCTTAACCTGAAGCACTCACATAGTAAGTAGCTCCTTTTGGCTCTCACACGTGATAATGAATTTGGAGTTTGGAGTTACAGGAGTTTCCACTATAGCCGGTAGTGCTATAACATTAGGCTCTTGATTGGGCAAAGCAGCAATTGGCAACTTTGTTCGTTGGACAGCCGCCATCTCGCCAGCCAAGCAGCTTAGGAGTTGCAAGACTCCTCCAGTTATGACATTATCACCTAACTCTGGTAAACTGAAGGTTGGTGCTTGTTTTAAAAAGATGGTTGTTCACTTGAGGGCTGCCTGGTTCCCATTGGGACTAGTAGGGCGGAAGGCAGGAAGCCCAACAGTGCAGAGCCAAAGCCAATAACAGGCAGAGCCAACTAATTATAGTTTTCTCACCAGCCTCCTCTCTGCTGAGTTGCACAAGGGACTAAGGAGGAGGAAGGTAACAGGTAGTAGCACCCCCACAATGGGTCAGTGCATCTGGCTGTTAACCAGAAGGTTAGTGGTTCGCGCAAACCCAGGGACAGCTGTGGGAAGGATTGCAGGGGGTTGGATTAGTTGACCTTTGGGATCTCTTCCCACTCTATGATTCTAGGACTTGAAGGAAGTAAGAAGGCAGGCTGAGGTTGCTGGGGCAGTGTCCTATTCGCCCTAATCGACCGGCCTCCACTGGTACTCTTGAAATTTCCTTCCCCCCCCCAAAAAAAAATTTTTTAAAATCATTTTATAACACAAATAAAAAACACAGACAGAAAAGACAAATAATACGAACAAATTCTTGTCATATCCTTATTTTTCTAAACATTGTTAAGTTAGCTTCCCCAAGTCCCACCTATCTGATTTTTATTTTATTTCATCTTTAGCAGTTTACATATATCATAATTTTTAACCATCTTTTTTTTAATCATACCTAAAATAACTTCACATTTTATCACTTACAAATAATATTTTAAAATACCCTGTCTTCTACTTCTAAATAATTGTCCATTAAAGAATCCCCACCCAGACCCTAGATTTAAGGGCCTTCAAGGCCATTTCCCAACAGGAGAGGTATCTGCCCAAAGAGTGAGAAGCAATGCCTCTCATCATCCTAGTTTGTAGCAGCTGTTTCCACTCTTCTTGGCTCAACCCTGCACTCATGAAAAGGACACGTAGCTCCATTGCAAGATATCTCTCTAAATGAGGTTGCTTGGCCATCCCTGGTACCAATGTATTCCTCTGCTCTGTTCCATATTTCCATTGCTGGTACACATCAGCACCTTTGAGCTATTATTTCCATAGCTTAATATGGCTTTGATGTTTCAACTTCCAAATGCCCCCAGCAAAAAAAGGTCTTGCACCCCCAAATTATGTTTGGCTGACTTAATTAATTAGCCGAAATTATGTTAGGCTGACTTGATTAAGTTCCCCAACACCCCTGAACTGGGATTGTGTCATTGCAATCATGTTTTACAACTATTGCTGCTTTCGGTATTATGCAAAAAAAACCAGCTTGGTGACCATCGGGAACATGATACTCCTGTGGTTTCTTTTAAAATAATCCATGTAACACCAGCCTGCAATTTAGCAGCTAAACAACAACAGAGGGATTAGAGCCACCCAAAATATTCTATGTAAATACTGCGTTGCTTTGTAAAAATAACATTGTTTATCCCTAAAACACACCATAGCCCTGAAAAACCTGTAGAAGCTCAGATTGCTAAATAGTTTCCATGAATGGTTTCCAAAACATTTACCTTTAGAACTAAAAATGTCCAGCCTTGATGGCCTTTGTTTAAAAGCATGAAGTTGCACTAGAAAGTTCCATCTTCCAACTGTCCTGTGACCAAAACCTATTGTTTGTCCTTATTAAAACTGATGTTCTGTTGTAGTTTTTGACTTTGTGTGTGTTTTAAATTATGGCTGTAAAGGCTGGGCTGGATGAATCCCAAGCCAGAATTAAGATTGCCAGAAGAAATACCAACAACCTTAGATATGCAGATGAAACAACCTTGATGGTAGAAAGTGAGGAGGAATTAAAGAACCTTTTAATGAGGGTGAGAGAGGAGAGCGCAAAATATGGTCTGAAGCTCAACATAAAAAAAATGAAGATCATGGCCACTGGGCCCATCACCTCCTGACAAATAGAAGGGGGGGAAATGGAGGCAGTGAGAGATTTTACTTTCTTGGGCTCCATGATCACTGCAGATGGTGACAGCAGTCACGAAATTAAAAGACGCCTGCTTCTTGGGAGAAAAGCAATGACAAACCTAGACAGCATCTTAAAAAGCAGAGACATCACCTTGCCAACAAAGGTCCATATAGTTAAAGCTATGGTTTTCCCAGTAGTGATGTATGGAAGTGAGAGCTGGACCATAAAGAAGGCTGATTGAAGGATGAATTGATGCTTTTGAATTATGGTGCTGGAGGAGACTCTTGAGAGTCCCATGGACTGCAAGATCAAACTGATCCATTCTTAAGGAAATCAGCCCTGAGTGCTCACTGGAAGGACAGATCGTGAAGCTGAGGCTCCTATACTTTGGCCACCTCATGAGAAGAGAAGACTCCCTGGAAAAGACCCTGATGTTGGGAAAGATGGAGGGCATAAGGAGAAGGGGACGACAGAGGATGAGATGGTGGGACAGTGTTCTCAGAGCTACCAGCATGAGTTTGACCAAACTGCGGGAGGCAGTGGAAGACAGGAGTGCCTGACGTGCTCTGGTCCATGGGGTCACGAAGAGTTGGACACGACTAAATGACTAAACAACAACAACAATAAAATTTAGCAATAATTTCATCGTTTTTTCTTTCTTTGTTTTTTTTAAAAGAAATATTTATTAAGGTTTTACAAAAAACATAGGTTTACAGAATAGAGAAAATTAAAACAAAATTTAAGAAACTAGAAAACACACATAGGAAAGAGGAAGAAAAAATATACAAAATACAAAGAAAAAAACTAATAGCTAAAAAGAAAAAATTTAAAAATAAATCCATTTTTCAATATCTTTAGGCTCGTTTCCTTATTTCCTTGACCTCCTCACACCTCCCCTTTTTGTATTCCCGTTTAGAAAATCATTTCAGCAAATCCTTACCCTCTTTCATTTATCTGTACTCTATGTCTTAACCTATTATAACTATGTATTTTCCTCCATTATCGATCCGTATTTGCATATTCTTGTTAATCTTATTACCAATACCACTTATTTTCAATCCAACAGCATTTTAACATTCATTAATTTTACAGTATTTCTGCAAATAGTCTTTAAATTTCTTCCAATCTTCTTCCACCAACTCTTCTCCCTGGTCTCGGATTCTGCCAGTCATTTCTGCCAATTCCATATAGTCCATCACCTTCATCTGCCATTCCTCCAGAGTGGGTAAATCTTGTGTCTTCCAATACTTTGCAATCAGTGTTCTTGCTGCTGTTGTTGCACGTTTTTTCTTTCTTTGTAAACCACTGAGGTTCTCCCCCCACACACTATTTTTACAAAAACAAATAAATATAAATTGAATTGGGAGTTCACCTCTGGAGACCTTGGTACAATTTCAACAAACAATGTTTGGGGTTGAGGAATGCCCTCTGGGGACCTTGACTCTGATAGGCTGCAGCTGAGCAAGGGGTGAAGCTGCGCCCCTCCATTTTCTTCCTGCCCAGCCCCCACCCCAAGCAAATGACAGTTGGGAAATGGCAGTTGGGCGCTTCTCTCCCCTCCCCCACGTCATCCCCGCCTCGCCGCAGAATCAGCTGGAGGAGGAAAACAAAAAAGAGCCCCGAGGGAGGGAGAGGCCAAAGGTCTCTCTCCTCATTGGCTGATCTTGACAGCGAATTGCCGTCACCTCCCACCAGTCAGCGCCAACTCCTCCGAACCACAAAACATTCGGATGGCCAGCGCAGAAACAACAAAAAAAGAGGCCCGCCCCCCGCGTCCAATCACCGCGCTGCAGCCGCCGACCAATCAGCAAGCAGCCTTTTGGGCGGACTTTTCAAAACTCAGGTTTTCCTCCCGCCCCCACCTTTGTCCCTTTAAAAGGAGCGATGCGTCCCCAGGCATGGAGTGTCCTTCCGCCTCTCGGTTAAAAGCAAAAGGCAATCATTTGCGCGGTTGATGGGAGGAAGCATTCCCGCCGTTCCCCAAATCGCCACTGGCGTTCGATGAGGTATATTCCATTCGTGGGGGACGGAAAGTGAAAAAAACGAGAGGGTATATTTTTTTACGTCATTCCCCCTTCCCTCCTTCCACAGGGCCGCATCGCCGCCGCGGCTGCGAATCCTTCCGCCCAAAGCAACTCAAGGGAAACAAAACAAGGAGGAGAGAAGGGGCGGTCGGTCACGTGATGGAAAGAGGGGCGGGGCCCGGGGCTCTTCGGCTCTCTTCCGAGCGGACTCCATTTTGATGTGGGTCTGAGGCGCCTCCGGCTCGGCTGCCCCGCGGAGGTCTCCGGGGCTTGGGGAGCGGGAGGCGATGGTGCCGCTGCTGCTTTCGCGCTGACGCCGGGCCGGGAAGGACGGGGGAAGGTCGGGGCTTGGAGTGGGCGGAGGGCGGCTGGATGGGTCGGTGAGGACGGGGCGCCTCGGCCGTTCGCTGTTGTCGCCGCCGCCGCCACTGAGGGGACAACCGCCCGCCGCCTCCCTTCGCTCCAGCCCCCGGCCTCCCTCCTCCGTCCCTTCCGGGGTCCCGAGAAGACGAGAAGCGGCGCCCCTGAGGAGAGGTATGTCCAGCTGAGAGATGGAAAATTGGGGGGGGGGGGTTAAGGCTTTTGTAGCGTCGCTTTCTTCCTTCAAAAGCGTCCCCTGTAAACTGCTTCCTATTCCGAAAATCAGCTGAGCAAGGAGTGCTCCCCTCTCCCCGAAACCCACGAAATATATATCATTAGAACAAATCTGGCCTATTTATCAAAAAGAAACCCGCCCCAAACGTTTAAAAGCTGCTGTGTCCTGCCTATTTTGATAGTACTTATTGTATTGTATTGATAGTACTCGATTGTATTTATTTTAGGGTGTGTGTTTTTTAAGTACATGAAAAAGACTTAACAGGCTATGTATTTATGTGTGGTGATAGTTTCAGATTCCATAGCATGCATGAATGAGAGATTCATATGAACTGTCTATATATATATATATATATCCCCCCCCAAAAAAAAAATGGAAGAAAAAGACAGGGCCATGAAAACAATTGCAAAAGCAGGTACTGGAATAAAATGTCAGAAAGCCAGGAAGAGGAAATAATTGGCCGAAGGCCTCTTTGTTTTTGTGCACCCTTGTCCTCGCCAGTTTCTTAAAACAGTACTATTGAGGGGGGGTGGAGGACGCAGCTTGTTTGGAGATACATTTTTATTTAATGTGTCCTGCTGTGTTTGGGGGAGGGGTGATTTGTGTGTTTACGGTTTGCTTTCTTTGTTGCGATGTGAACCACTCTCAGATTTACAAAGTTAAATCTGTGCTGGGAGGGGGAAGGGTGAGATTGAAGGAGCGTTGTGGGTGTCCTGTGAAGAACGGATTTTAAGAGAGCTGAACCGATTGATTGTTTACTTATTACAATTATTTGTACCCCTTTCGGATCCAAATCTTTTCGAGGCAGCTTGCAAGTAACATGAAGATAAATGAGTAAAATTGCACATGACAATCCACCAGTATTAAAATATTACACTAAAGCAATGTACCAAGGCGATACTGAGGCGGTCTCTGCCTGCCTTCTGCTCACTCAGTGGCTGCAAGGATATTTTCATTTTCCAAGTGCCTTTCAATCAGTCTAGTAAGCCTTGGTGCAAAATAAGGCAAGCCAGTAATCTCCATATGAAGGGGAGGAGCTGACAGGGAGTGGAGCGCAGTGATTTTTTGGGGGGGGGTGAGGAGACAAGGCTCATAAGGGGCGAGCCCCATTGAAAGCTTTTGTCTGCCACAGATCCCAGGAGAGCTTTAATGGGAGACAAGTTTTAGAAAGGGTTGAGGGAGGCTGACAGGGGTGTAGCTTTGCTTAAAAGGGTGAGGTGTCCTGTGGGCTGAAAGGATTTTTTGGTTATGGAAAGCGATCTGTAATTGGGAGGGCAGAGCCCCCCTGGACCTTAGGTAGGACTGCTGGCTTGGAGAGACTCTTGATGGTATGGGTTGCAAGGGAATTGAGCTAAACCCTATTGCTGTGTTAGTTCCAGGTAGGTAGCCATGTTGGTCTGCTGTAGTCGAAACAAAATAAAAAGAATTCCTTCCAGTAGCACCTTGGAGACCAACTAAGTTTGTTTCTGGTATGAGCTTTCAACGAAGGCTCATACCTATTGCTGTGTGTTTGGGAAGAGTTTGCTTGAACTCTTCACTAGGGCTAGTTGGAGGTGAACAGAGGACACCAGAAAGTATTTTGCAATAACTGTCCAGGCTTTGATAGCTGGGAGGAGGCACGTAGAGCTGGACAAGTGCGTCATGGGTTGGGGGAAGGCCCCATGTAAGTTCCCCAGAAAGGAGGAAATGGTTGCATGTGGGATAAGCAGGATGAGGTTGGGATGTGTATTTGAGGGGAATGTCTGTGGCAGTGATATAGGTGGGGCTTTCAAGGAAAATATCAGCGGAATAGAAATAGAGAAGTAGGGCAAAAAATGAGAACTGAGGGAGATTTTGGCTGGTTTCACATCCAGTAAAGAAGATTAAAAGGGATCTCTTGTGTTTTGGGGTGCCCTTGTGCTAGATGCAGATTGTGCAGAGCTATCCTTTTCAGCTTCTGTCTAAAGGGCATTTTCTTATCCAAACCCCAAGCTGTTGGTTGAGAGTAAAACCCTTTATGTGTTTTACAGGTTTTGTGTGTGAGGGCTTGGCTGAGGATGGCAACAGATGATCTAGGCCTTGGGACAAATGTTTTGATAGTTCTCCATCCGTCCCTCCCTGCCGCCACCACCCACCCATCTCTGCTCCCCAGATTTTTGTTGTTGTTTCGAGGTTGAACAAAGATTATCCCTTTGCTTAGGGTGGAATTGAAAACAGGCTGACTCAAAGTGAGTGATTGGGTGTGTGTGTCTGACAGATTACCTATAAGGAATTTAAATTGTTATTTTTTCTTTTGTAACGGTCTAAGGACTAGAAACAAACAAATAAATTCGAAACCTAATAAGGAAAGAGTAGTAAGATACTGCAAAGCTCCCACTGTATTGGGATCACAGGAAAGCCAGATGGGTAAAAGCCAAAATTTAGCAGGTAGAATTGCAGAGTTATATGCTTAAGGGGTCAGGGGAGTTTATTAGAATGCCTTATCATTTGGGCAGCCTGATATCTTTATGCCAGGTTACTCAACAGTAAGCTGGCTTTATTATGGTATGTCTGCTTCCCAGGGAAATATTCAGAGTGTTGTAGCCTGATGATGTTTCTTACTGGTGAGTCGGTATGTCTGTTCTGCTGCTGCCCCCTTCAGTCATTCGGAAGCTGCTTCCACTGTGTGTACGTGACAGCATTCAGCTATGCTCCACCCCCCACCCCCCCAACTCCCTATGCACTGGCCTCTTAGTCAAGCACTGGGTGAAAGGCCCAGGTTTTCAGCTGGAGAGAGAGGAGTGTTTTTCCTCTCCCATTGCATGGTTTTAGTATGATACACTGTAAACAGTTTAGATAGATGAGCATGTGGGCAGTTCAGAGAAATGTGTCATCTGAAATTGTCAAAGAATACTATGCTCTTTAATTGTAAGGCTTGTTATCTCCCTGGGCTCAACACAAGTTGGGTGAATTGGAAATACAGCATTAATTATTTGCTTCTGAGTGGTGATTATGTTGTTGTTGTAACACACATTTAACCTCTGAAATGGATGTGATTTTTTTCCCCTCCTGAAAATGTTCATATTGTCTTTCCTTTCTCCTCTCCCCTACTTTCTAAGATGAAGGACATTGGAGTTGAAGAACAGATGAGCAGTTGGCTCTTCAGGCAGCTGAAAATCCATTTGGAGCAAGAATGGAAATACCAGCCTCGGGAAAAGGGGCTTAGCTTGATTGAGTGCACTGTTGAGGTGAGGAAAAGCTTTTCTCTGGGTCTGGGAATTAAGGATTCACATGACTGAACTTGGTTGCATGTGAGATTTGATAGGGAAATGACCAAAATCATAGATTTCTCTTCATGTAGCTTATTAAATATATATTCAACCTTCTCTCAAAGGAACTCAAGGTGGACTATTGATTCTCTTCCTTCCCCTTTTATCCTTACAACAACCCTCTGAGGTAATTAGCTCTAGGTCACGGAGTGAGCTTTATGGCTGAATTGGGATTTGGAACTTCCAGGTCTTAGTCCAGCACTCGAACCCCACTGGCTAGCTTGTAGAACTGGTATTAAAAGTGCTATAGGGTGTTCAGATCACATCACATACAGTTGGCTTGATCAGATGTAGCACTCACAATGTAGAATGATCACTGTGCACTCATTCCTTTCCTTGTACACTTGCTTTGCTGAATTTATCATGCTTTGTTCCAATGACATTATACCCAAACTGCAAAGTATATATTCATTTTGTGGCTTGTAGTGCAAGATTAAACCAGGACTTCTGAACTGCATTTCATTTCCCCCCAAAGGTTCCTGTTCAAACTTAGGTTCAGAAGAAAAGAAATTGGCACATACTTCATTCTATATATTGTGTTATTTTGTAAAGAGATTTTGGGTTGTATCCAGTTAAGTTGTCCTGTTGGTGCAAAGACTTCCAGTGGTGCAACGGAACTCCCCACCCCCCAAAAAATCTGTTATTGACAAGCTGTTTGGCGAATCAGTGACATGTTGAGGGGAAGGGCCTTCTGGCTTCTGGACAGCTAAACTATGGAGTATTTGCCTGCACTCTTCATCCCCACTCCAAATCGCCATGAGGTTGGCTGTCACACCACAGCAGAATATATAGATCAGCTTCTAAGACATTTCTTTGCAGGGTTTGTACGTATAACACAAAGCTATTTCTCTTGCTACACAGAATGAAAACGCCTTATGTCCAAGACTGAGGAATGCAAAAGTTGAAGATCTCTGGAGTCTTACCAACTTCTTCGGGTTTGCCACAGAAACATTTGTCTTGGCGGTCAACATCCTAGACAGATTTTTGGCACTCATGAAGGTACGTCTAGAAGGAGCAGCTGTATGAATTTTTACACATATTCAGTAACAATATGTTTCTATTGTCTTTGGCATTTGTTTTTGACTTTAAGGCAATACGGTAATCTAAGATAATTGCCCTATTATAGGTGTGTGACAGAAACAGAAAATAGCATTCCCACATTTTCCTTGTCTTCCTCAGTTCCCTGTCTTTGTCCCTCACTTTTTTTTGCTCCAAAGCCAAATTGCAATCATATTACACTTCTTAGTGAGGTTATCTGAATCTATGGCACCATTCCAGATGACACCTAGTGAATAATATTGCTGAATTTGTAGTAAATGCCCACTACCAGCAGGAGTACTGTTACAGGCTGAACTTACTAAACCTTGTCCTAGTATTGCATAGTACGAGCCAGCTTTCTACTATAAGGGTCTTATTGTTCTAGGCAATAAGGGTATGCAGCAGAACCCAGATAATTCTGAATGGATTTTCAGTACCTTTTTTCATTATTTGCCCATTACACATTGCTGCTAGGTAGCTTACCATCCATGCTACTAGCTGTTCCCAACGTTCTTTTCCTTCCCCCTAGGTGAAACCTAAGCACTTGTCCTGCATTGGGGTCTGTTGCTTCCAGCTGGCTGCTCGAGTGGTTGAAGAGGAATGCAACATCCCCTCCCTCCATGATGTCATCCGGATTAGCCAATGCAAATGCACTGTGTCCGACCTGAAGCGGATGGAGAAAATAATCTCAGAAAAGCTGCACTTTGACTTCAAAGCTACTACTGCCTTAACCTTTTTGCACTTGTACCATACTATTGTACTCTGTCATACCTCAGAAAGGTACGTGTGGGATCAGCCTTATTCCCTGTTGTTCGGTGGGTAGTTTGAAGCCCTCTTTCTGTCTGTTAGCCTTCTGGATCGTCCCTCTCCCATTGCTGCCTGTACTTTCCTGCTTGCTGTGGCTGCAGATGCTCCAGTTATTGTTTCCCAATAATATGTGCTCATGCACAGTGAGATAAGGAAATGCAGCCAAGAGCCCGTAGTCTCTACAAGATGAATGGGAGTGGTCAGGTGCATTGAGGGTTGTAGACTGGGGAATAGGATCAGTGCACCCACCTTACATTTTGAGTAATGCTGCAGGCATCTTAGCTGAGTTGAACTCTGCCACACTGCTAGATAACCCAGGTTTACATTTTCCCATCTTCTCCCTTGAATAGGAAAGAATTGTTGAATCTTGACAAACTGGAAGCACAACTTAAAGCTTGCAACTGCCGACTAGTCTTTTCAAAAGCAAAAGTAAGTCAATAACAGCAAAGCCTAGGAGGAGTATGGGCAATATAATGAATGGCACAGTTATATTTGGCCATTAAATTGGAGATGCTAGCAAACATACAAAAGTGATAACAGCATGAAGAATACTAAGTTGGCTTTATCATCTCAGTAGTTTGTCTTCTTGTAGTGGGTATGAGATCAGTCTTGCCATTGCCACCTCTTTCTCATGGTACACTCTGGAATGATCCCCAGGGGAAAAAAGGAAATATTACTATATCATTAATGTGAAATATAAAACAGTCATCTACTTGTCTCTGTACTATGGCTTTTATGTGTTGGTGGTGGTGGGAGTAATTTATTTATAAGTTAAAGCAAAAGTAAACCTGAAATGCGTAGTTGACAAGCAAAAGATGGAATCCAGTAATGTGTTACTGAGCTAGATATGTGTGTTTTTACTTTCAGCCATCCATCTTGGCCTTGTGCCTTCTGTCCCTGGAAGTGCAGGCTCTGAAATCCATTGAATTGTTTGAGATGGTTCTGTATGTTCAGAAGCACTCAAAGGTAAGAGATTCAACCATTTTTGCTTTATATCACTTGGACCCAGCAATCCTAATACTGTACAGTGTGCTCCTCTGAATATGGGAATTAGTTTCCAAATGCATGATGCAGGGAGATTGGGGAGGTCACATGGCTGAAAAGCTTTGAAATAGCTTTGCAGAGGCAAGTATCAGAAGTAAAAGTGTAATAAGAACCCAAAAATGAAAGACATTCCCATTTTACCCATCTTGCATCATATGATTCTATACAGGAGACATTTGTTGCAGTATGAGATTTCACATACTTCATCTGCAACCACAAGCATTCTGTAAACTGTCATTAACTTCAGTACCTCATCAGCTCACACAGTGCCAGTGCTGGGATTTCAGTTAAATATGTAAAGTCTTTGCAGATGTGGTGTGTGGCTGAATCTGCAATTGAGACTAAGTGAGGGTCTTTTAAATTACTGTTCTTTTGTAGGATCTTAGCACAGTATGTTAGGGGAACTGAATGAGAACTAGGCCAGAAGCGAAAGTTGAGCTCAGCTGACACACAGAAAGTGTTTCAGAATGCAAACACTGCAGTGTGTTTAGGCATCCAGTTCTACTGGTGATGAGCTTTTCAGCACATCCCTCAGACTGCGATTCCAGTTGGTCTTTTTTTGAACACAAGCTCCACACTCGGGTTATTGTGCATGAGATTACAGGCATAGTGGATTAGTAATAGAAGTCTTTTGAATGAATACAAATAAATATGAGTGTCTTCTCTTGTTTTTAGATAAGTGACAGTGATTTGCTCTATTGGAGAGAGCTGGTTTCAAAATGCTTAGCGGATTACTCGTCTCCTGCCTGTTGCAAGCCAGACCATAAAAAACTAGTTTGGATTGTTTCAAGGCGTACTGCTCAGAATCTTCAAAACAGCTACTACAGTGTTCCTGAGTTGCCCACAATCCCAGAGGCTGGATGTATTGATGAGAGTGAGAGGTAGGTATATCCCATGGGGCTTTCTCTACTTACCTGCTCATCTTTCAAGTAATGGCATCTCAATAAATTTAGTGGTAACTTTCTTTTGTGGCATGTGTGTAATTTAAGATTAGATAACCAAGTAGTATTGGTTTGTTAGCATTTCAAATATTAGAGCTACATTTACTATCTTGGTGGGTTCCAGATCCCATAAAACCAAAGAGCTTGTATTGCATCCGTTGTGAGGGTGCTTACATACATTAGTGGGAAGGAATCATACCTCAGAGCACACTTCCTTTTACATGTGGAAGGGCTATTGATTCTGTAAGCAAGTGGAAATCACTACTGCAATAGCAGTAGTACAATCTTAATTCTTGAACTTAACAAGTGACGAAAACATAGGTAAATGTTAATAACTTACTGCAGATTCTTTGGAGTACAGTGGTACCTCAGGTTACATACGCTTCAGGTTACAGACTCCGCTAACCCAGAAATATTACCTCGGGTTAAGAACTTTGCTTCAGGATGAGAACAGAAATCGTGCAGCAGTGGCACCATTAGCTAAAGTGGTGCTTCAGGTTAAGAACAGTTTCAGGTTAAGAACAGAGCTCCAGAACGAATTAAGTTCTTAACTCAAGGTACCACTGTACTATAATGTGGGTCTCTCTGACAGTAAATATTTTGAGGAGACTACAAGCACTCTGTGCTGTTTAAATTGGTTTAAAGCAATGCTGCATTTTGAATTGGCCAGTTAAGCTTTGAGGCTCCAGGAGTTGGATGCTCAGTAATGAAATACGAGACCAATGTGCAGCAAGACAGTTAGCAGCTGTGCAGACCTTGATTGACCTTATCTAAAGTGAAAGAACTTATTTGAATTCTAGCAGCTGACACTGCTTAGTTTAAAATTGTAGACAGCGATGAACATTTTAATCACTTGAGAAACTGATAATCAGAGTCAAGTTCTTGTTGATTGTGCGCTGGAAATTCTGTGCATAATGTCATTAACAGAACCCTCACACCATGAAAGCAGAAGCTATTCTTAATGCAGTTGGGTGCAGTGCAGACTGCTAGGGAATTTAAAATAAATAAATAAGCACTCATGCTAAGAAATGTGATGCAAATAATGCAACCCAAAAGCAGAAAAAGACCCTTATAAACAGTGTCTATTTGGGGTGGTGTTTTTTAAATACTTTTTTAAAAAATCATTTTTTACTTATGTGAGCTGTATATAACTCTTTATATTTTACCCCCTAGTGAGGACTCCTGTGAAGATATGAGCTGTGGAGAAGAAAGTCTTAGCAGTTCTCCACCAAGTGACCTGGAAAGCACCTTCTTCTTTGACCTCAAGCCAAAATCAACTCCGTGTGCTAGGCTGAGCTATTAATACATTATAGCACTATAGGCAACAAGTATCTAAGCACCCTCTGTACCTTGACGCAAGGTCTCATGCAGTACCCAAAACATACACACCACTTACTGTGGCAAAAGTCAAATGTAGCAGGGTTGATCCAACCAACCATTTAGGTCTTTATCCAGTGAGGAGCATGAACAAGTGCACACAGTTTGTTAGTAGGCTATAAGAGAGCTGTAATGCTTGATATGTGCTTGAACGCCTTGCTGAATATGGGGAACTATTTTTGGGATAGAGTGAGTTGCAAAGAAGTGTATGCTTGTTTCTGTCTGGACTGAAGTACTTTTAACCAAAACTTGAGTTGTGCATTCTTTTTTAAGAAAGGAATTTCTCTCTCCTTTTTTTAAAGCTTTTTTGAATTTCAGGAAGTGTATTAAATAAGGAATATGCTTGTGTTATTTAGGGATGAATAATGTCCCCTTTTAAAGTGAAAACCAGAGGGTAATCTGGTTCAATGTGCCAGGTATATTTTAGTGTTAAAACTTCTCAAGGGTCGGCTTTCCTATCCATTTTAGGAACTGAAGTGTATTCAGAAAACCTTAGTGTTAATGTGAAAAAGCAAACTATTAAATTAGAAATTTTGACATTCAATGTAAAGTCTACTTTCCCTTTTACTACTACTAACTCCTGTAGCTTTTTCCCAGTATTTTACATTGTCATAAATAATTTCTTAATCATAACACGTTTGCATGCTTAAGTGAAAGCTGTTAGCGGAAAGGCTATTTGATTATGCAGAAGTGTTGGTAAATGTGAAGTTGATGAAAGTGGTTGTAATGACACTTAATTGCTTGCCATTTTCTTTTCTCTTAAAGCACAGACTTTTATGGTTGCTTTACTTAATATTTTCAAATATATGCAAAGTGAGCAAAAGAAGAAATTTACTCCGTAGTATAATAATGTAAAAGCAATGTCATGGTAGAAATGAAGGGGCTGCGTAAGTTAGGATTTTGTAGCATTGTGTGGCCAACGTGTCTAGGCTGAAGTGCAGATGTGAATGGTGATGTATGGTGTGCTCTGATTTTTATAAAGGAAAAAAAAAGTTTACAAAAATTGTGTAAAAATGTAAATTAAAATCTGTATAAAAACTTTAAAAAACAAAATAAGCTGAAAAATATTGTATTTTTACAGTGTGTATGTAACTTTCATGTATGTTGCATGTAGATATTAATTTATTGTATTCTGTATATGATATAAATACTGTACATTGAAGATTTGCCTTTTTGGTACTGCAAGCCAGAGTCTCAAAAAGATGTTTTCTGAAAGCTATTTTCTCTCAAAGATAACTCAGATCTCTTTGCTTCAGTTCAATAAAACCAAATGCTTTTCCTAACTAAGTCTCAGCTGTGATTTTGGCAATCAGCATGGAAATATGGCTGGGAATAAGTCAGAAATTCCAGGATGCCCTTTTTGGAATATGATAGCTTTTTATCAATTAGAATGTTAAGTAATGGAAACAAAAACTTTCTTAATGGGGAAATGCCCTTCCCAGAATTTGGAGGCAAACTACTAGACCCATGGAACAGATTGGCTCCCAGGACTTGGCAAAAAAATGTGCTAGGATTTCAGGGTTAGGAAGATTTAACTTTTCTATATAGACTAAATGGAGGATATTTGGGTCGCCCCATGATCCAAGCCATATGATCTTATTGTTTTCAGATACTTGGGAAAAAATGATTATTTACTTAACACAATGTATTATCCTAACGAATCATAGCATATTATTTTATGTAAAGATGGCTACCTTTATTATATTCTATTTAATTATATATATATATATATATATATATATATATATATATATAGGTTTTGGTGTCCTCGGGTGTCTTCCCGTGTAAAAGTTGGGGTGTCTAGGCGACGTTTCGACGAGGTCTCACTCGTCATCTTCAGGCTGGTGCTTTGGGCTTCTTGTTACTGGAACAGAGCAGGATCTCAGTGTTTGAGTTCCTATAAATACTGTTGAGGGGTGTGGTGTATAGCCTCCAATGTTCTGGGCAGAAAGGAAGTTCCCAGGCTAGTGTGCCTATTCTTCTTTTGTTCCTTAATTACTTGAGGGATATCTTGAGTGATTTCTTGAGTGATATTCTGAGTACCATTTAGGTGGGTCATTAGGTGTGGATTAGTTGCTCAAGCCTTCGTGTCTTGACCTCTTGAACTTTGTGAAAAGTTTTTCTGAGAAGATGGCTGTACTGCACTTAGTTGTGCTCTGGCTTGGCTTAGCACAACTAAGTGCAGTACAGCCATCTTCTCAGAAAAACTTTTCACAAAGTTCAAGAGGTCAAGACACGAAGGCTTGAGCAACTAATCCACACCTAATGACCCACCTAAATGGTACTCAGAATATCACTCAAGAAATCACTCAAGATATCCCTCAAGTAATTAAGGAACAAAAGAAGAATAGGCACACTAGCCTGGGAACTTCCTTTCTGCCCAGAACATTGGAGGCTATACACCACACCCCCTCAACAGTATTTATAGGAACTCAAACACTGAGATCCTGCTCTGTTCCAGTAACAAGAAGCCCAAAGCACCAGCCTGAAGATGACGAGTGAGACCTCGTCGAAACGTCGCCTAGACACCCCAACTTTTACACGGGAAGACACCCGAGGACACCAAAACCTACATTCCTGTACCCGTGAAAATCTACGAAAGCAAATATATATATATATATATATATATATATATATATATATATATATTTAATGGTCATGCTCAATTGTCTGCTATCTTGCTCACATAGCGGTTTCTAATTAACTACCGCTACAACAGAAGCAACACTTTCAATTTATAAGTTGAGTAACTGGTCAAAACATTTCAGTACAGTCAAAGACAGCCTGTTACCACCCAGACTACCTGCATGATTTTTCTGAAATCTTAGGGTAGCCAGGTGAACTTCATTAGAGAAAAAATAAGTCTTGGTCAAAAGTGCAGGGCAGGAGATATTTTCGTTCCCTGAACAGGAGGTAGGAATCTTTATTCAAAGGCCACAACGTAAATTCATGTATACTAAAAGGGTTCTGTGTGGTGATACCTCTCAGATACTCAACTTCCAAAAAGCTTGACAGGGAGAGCTGAAACTTGAAGAAGGGCAACTTTGGGGCATATATTAAAAGGGCATGTAGGAAATTGGATTACTGTGGAAAGTTGAGAGCATTTACTTACTTGATGCTATTTATGAATCACAACCTATGAAACAACTGTAACAAGGCTACCTCTGTCCAGACAGGGCTCTAGTGCCTAAATCCATAGAGCAAAACACTCCCAAGACAGTGCTGGGTCTAGGAGGAACCCCAGACTAGAATCATAGAGAAGTACAGTCAGATCTCGCGTTACGTTTGCTTCAGGTTGCGCGTTTTCAGGTTGCGGCAACGCAGAAGTACCAGAAAGGGTTAGTTCTGGGTTTCGCTACTCGCGCATGCGGAAATGCAAAATGACATCATGCGCAGAAGCGGCGAATAGCGACCCACGCATACGCAGACGCGGGTTGTGTTCTTTTCAAGTTGCGAACGGGCCTCCGGAATGGATCCTGTTTGCAACCAGAGGTACCACTGTAGAGTTGGAAAGGATCTAGCAAGGCCAGATCTCACGGATGATGGGAGTTGTAGTCCAACAACATCTGGGGACCCACAGGTTGAGAACCGCTGAACTAGTCCAACCCCATGCAATGCAGGAAACATTTGCCCAACATGGGGCTCGAACCTACGACCTTGAGATTTAGAGCATCATGCTCTACCAACTGAGCCAGAAACTGTTCATGTAAAGCTGGTTCCTTTAGGATGGGAGGGCAGCCCCATCCAAAGGCGTTGAAACCACCTAACTTGGTAGATGAATCCCACCCCCGCCCACCATCCTCTTGTTGAGAGGGAGCCAGATTCTGTCCTTGTCTTTTAAAAAGGGCCAGGGGCTAAATTTGACCCTTTGGCTGCCTTCATTTGGCTGGAGCAGACTCTTCAGAATCCCATGGACTGCAAGAAGATCAAACTGATCCATTCTTAAGGAAATCAGCCCTGAGTGCTCCTAGTCAGCTGCTCTGCTCGGCATAGTTCATAGCTTCTCTGAGTTATTCAAGCCCCTTCGCCACGGCAAGGCAGTCCCTATAGTTAAAGCTATGGTTTTCCCAGTAGTGATGTATGGAAGTGAGAGCTGGACCATAAAGAAGGCTGATCGCTGAAGAATTGATTCTTTTGAATTATGGTGCTGGAGGAGACTCTTGAGAGTCCCATGGACTGCAAGAAGATCAAACCTATCCATTCTTAAGGAAATCAGCCCTGAGTGCTCACTGGAAGGACAGATCGTGAAGCTGAGGCGCCAATGCTTTGGCCACCTCATGAGAAGAGAAGGCTCACTGGAAAAGACCCTGATGTTGGGAAAGATGGAGGGCAGAAGGAGAAGGGGACGACAGAGGATGAGATGGTTGGACAGTGTTCTCGAAGCTACCAGCATGAGTTTGATCAAACTGCGGGAGGCAGTGGAAGACAGAAGTGCCTGGCGTGCTCTGGTCCATGGGGTCACAAAGAATCGGACATGGCTAAACAACAACAAACCTGATCCAAAACACCCACCCACCCCACTCACACATGAAAACAAAGACCACTACAGCCAACCACAAATGAATAACCACATCCTAGTCCAACCCCAACCTCTCTCACCACCAAAGGAACACAAATGAACAGCAAAGAACCTGCACAAGCAACGCTGACACCAAACCCTACATATAGTAAGTAAAATAGAAACATCGCCACCCGACCCCACTCCTCCCCATCTCTCCCCCCCTCCACCTATTTCCCCCTTTTCTAATGTCTCAACAAATGAAACTGATTTGATTTGTAAAAATGTTACATGGGGGAAAAATACGAGAGAGAGACACTGCACACACTTTTGTAAATCAAGAAAACCTATAATAATAATAATAATAATAATAATAATAATAATAATAAATGGCCATCCTGCCATTGCAATAAAAGGGGTGGGTGGGTGAGTGGGTCGCCCCTCCTGCATTCATGCCCACCTTTTTCTGTTCTTGACTTGGCTGTTTGCAACACCAGAGCGGGACCCTACAATATGTGAATTAAAACATCAACAACACAGAACACGTGCTTAATAACAACAATGCTTATCTTTTTAGCTACTATTTTTTTGATGTTATTATTATTTCAGATTATAAATGCTATAAAGTAAAGGTAAAGGGACCCCTGACCATTAGGTCCAGCTACGGATGACATCTCGCTATATTGGCCGAGGGAGCTTCTGGGTCACGTGGCCAGCATGACTAAGCCACTTCTGGTGAAACCAGAGTAGCACACAGAAATGCCATTTACCTTCCTGCCAGAGCGGTACCTTTTTATCTACTTGCACTTTGACATGCTTTCGAACTGCTAGGTTGACAGGAGCTGGGACTGAGCAACAGGAGCTCACCCCGTCGTGGGGATTCGAACCGCCGACCTTCTGATCTGATTGGCAAGCCCAAGAGGCTCAGTGGTTTAACCCACAGCGCCACCCGCATCTTAAAATTAAACCCAAAAGTCAAGTTGCATTGGCCGGGAATCGAACCCGGGCCTCCCGCGTGGCAGGCGAGAATTCTACCACTGAACCACCAATGCTATACATGTGACATGTTCATCACATGTGACAACTTTTACGGTCGTTGTGTTTTGCTGATTTTTAGGCTGCAACTGTTTTAGGGATGATTTGTTGTTTAGTGTGATTTGGGCTGCATTTGCGATGCTCTATTACCGCATTGCCATTTATTGCTCGTGAGCGGCTTTGAGAGTTGTCTGAATGAAAAGCGGCATGGAAATACGTCCCTTCTACCCAAGAATAAAACAAAGCCCTACCTTCGCAGCGTTGAGCATGCGCCGTGCGGCACCATGTAGCCCTGGCGCTGCCCTCACTTTGCTTCTCCTGCCCGCTTCCCATCCGCTCTCGCTCTCCTGGCGAAGCAGGACGAGGAAGGACAGAGACTGCGGCTTCAGTTCCGCAAATGCGCATGCGCTTCTCCAGGCAGCCCCTGCTTCCTGGAGGCGAGGAGATTTGCTTTCCAAATGCTGCAAAGCAGCTTCGCGGACCTTCTTCCCCGGAGCAACCTGCGCGGCGGAGTCACCCTCACAGGTACCGTTTCCTGCAAAGGTCCTACTCCTGCCCTGCTCGCTGTTCCTCCCCATTATTTACTTCTGCTCCCTCTCCTTCCTTGAAGAAATGGTCATATCCGGGCTAAATGCACATAAATATAAAGGTGGGCACGTGAAATGCACGCAGCTCAGTGGTGGTTGTTGTCGTTTTGTCGTGTCCGACTCTTCGTGACCCCATGGACCAGAGCATGCCAGGCACTCCTGTCTTCCACTGCCTCCCGCAGTTTGATGAAACTCATGCTGGTAGCTTCAAGAACACTGTCCAACCATCTCATCCTCTGTCGTCCCCTTCTCCTTGTGCCCTCCATCTTTCCCAACATCAGGGTCTTTTCCAGGGAGTCTTCTCTTCTCACGAGGTGGCCAAAGTACTGGAGCCTCAGCTTCAGGATCTGTCCTTCCAGTGAGCACTCAGGGCTGATTTCCTTAAGAATGGATGCGCTTGATCTTCTTGCAGTCCATGGGACTCTCAAGAGTCTCCTCCAGCACCAGAATTCAAAAGCATCAATTCTTTGGCGATCAGCCTTCTTTATGGTCCAGCTCTCACTTCCAAACATCACTACTGGGGAAACCTTAGCTTTAACTATACGGACCTTTGGTATGATGCCCCTATTTTCATTCGAGAAATGTTGGAGGGAATGTCTCTATTTTCATTGGAGAAATGTTGGAGGGTATGGAATAGGGTATGCATAAAGCCATAGAACTGTAGAATTGGAAGGGACCCCGAGAGTCATCTAGACCACCCCCCTGCAATGCAGGAATCCATGACCTGGAGTACTGTGTCCAGTTCTGGGCACCACAGTTCAAGAAGGACACTGACAAACTGGAACGTGTCCAGAGGAGGGCAACCAAAATGGTCAAAGGTCTGGAAACGATGCCTCATGAGGAACGGCTAAGGGAGCTGGGCATGTTTAGCCTGGAGAAGAGGAGGTTAAGAGGTGATATGATAGCCATGTTCAAATATATAAAAGGATGTCATATAGAGGAGGGAGAAAGGTTGTTTTCTGCTGCTCCAGAGAAGCGGACACGGAGCAATGGATCCAAACTACAAGAAAGAAGATTCCACCTAAATATTAGGAAGAACTTCCTGACAGTAAGAGCTGTTTGACAGTGGAATTTGCTGCCAAGGAGTGTGGTGGAGTCTCCTTCTTTGGAGGTCTTTAAGCAGAGGCTTGACAACCATATGTCAGGAGTGCTCTGATGGTGTTTCCTGCTTGGCAGGGGGTTGGACTCGATGACCCTTGTGGTCTATTCCAACTATATGATTCTATGATTCTATGACAGGTGGCCACCCAACCTCTGCTTTAAAAAACCTCCAATGCAGAAGTTTAGTCATCGTTAAGAGTGGGTTTCTGTCAATCATTGTTTGTGCCCGATCTGCTTCTGCACATTGACTGCCCCGGCTCCTTCCTTCCTTTCCTTGCCATCCGTTTTTTTCAAAAAGCTTCCTGATTTCTCTGCTCCATGTCACTGTTGCTGCTGCAACTCTGAGCTCCCAACAGCAGGGACAGCCCTCTAGTTATTCCCAAGCAGATCCCTTCTCTTTCAGCAGCAGAGAGAGGGTGGGGTCCCTCCTTTCTACCCCACCCTGGGCCTCGCCTCTCAATTTGTTCCCACCCCCAATCTATTCAATACAGTGGTACCTCAGGTTACATACGCTTCAGGTTAAAGACTCCGCTAACCCAGAAATAGTGCTTCAGGTTAAGAACTTTGCTTCAGGATGAGAACAGAAATCATGCTCTGGCGGCAGCAGGAGGCCCCATTAGCTAAAGTGGTGCTTCAGGTTAAGAACAGTTTCAGGTTAAGAACGGACCTCTGGAACGAATTAAGTACTTAACCTGAGGTACCACTGTACTCCGTCTTTCCTGTTCTTTGCTTGGGTCTTATTTTACCACCTTAATATTATTATTATTATTATTATTATTATTATTATTATTTATACGTCTCCCATCTGGCTGGGCCTCCCCATCCACTCTGGGCAGTTTCCAACAAAATATTAAAATACAGTAATGTATCAAACATTAAAAGCTTCCCTAAACAGGGCTGCCTTCAGATGTCTTCTAAAAGTCTGGTAGTTGTTGTTCTCTTTGACATCTGGTGGGAGGGTGTTCCACAGGGCGGGTGCCATTACCGAGAAGGCCCTCTGCCTGGTTCCCTGTAACTTGACTTCTCGCAGTGAGGGAACCGCCAGAAGGCCCTCGGCGCTGGACCTCAGTGTCCAGGCTGAATGATGGGGGTGGAGACGCTCCTTCAGGTATACTGGACCGAGGCCATTTAGGGCTTTAAAGGTCAGCACCAACACTCTGAATTGGGCTTGGAAACGTACTGGGAGGCAATGTAGGTCCTTCAAGACTGGTGTTATGTGGTCTCGGCGGCCGCTCCCTGTCACCAGTCTAGCTGTTCTTTCCGTGCAGATTCTCCTCTCTCAGTGTATTGTGTGGCTCTGACTCTTTGTGAGTGTATGCTAAAGGTGACTTAGGAGTGTGTGTCTCCTCATTTGTTTGTGTGCATGCACGCAGGCTGTGTGTTAGAACTCTGTGTCTGATTTTTTTTTCTATGTGTGCGCACAAAAGGTGTGAGTTTGGAATGCGTACCTCATTCTGTGTGCATGCATGCATGCCCGAAGGATGTGAGTAGAATTGTGCCTCTGATTTTTTGAGTTAAAAGTGTGAGTTAGGAGTGTGTGTGTGTTGGGAATGTGCTCTGTTCTGTTCTAAGGTTATGCGTTAGAAATGTGTGCCTGATCATGTTTATGGTTCTGCATGTCTGGTCCTGCCCGCTGTCGAAATACAGCTCCGAGAGGTTTCCACTTAAGTAATCTGGCCCTCAGGCCGACAGAGGTTTCCCAACCTGTTCTTGCATGTAACAGGTAGGGGGAAATGGCATCCTTGCCCAGGCAGCTCACAAGATGAGACCCGCTGTCAAATTGCATTATGTACCTTCCACACCGTTCTCTCAGATTCCTAGTTTCCCTGCTTCTGGCCGTGTTTCCCAAGCGGCTTACAAAACAAGACAAGGAAGCTCCACTAATCAAAACCCAGGCTTCTGCTTTAACTGTACTGTCATACCTCAGGTTACGATGTGGGTGGCACTGTGGGTTAAACCACAGAGCACAGGACTTGCTGATCAGAAGGTCGGCGGTTCAAATCCCCGTGACGGGGTGAGCTCCTGTTGCTCGGTCCCTGCTCCTGCAACCTAGCAGTTTGAAAGCACGTCAAAGTGCAATTAGATAAATAGGTACCACTCTGGTGGGAAGGTAAACGGTGTTTCCGTGTGCTGCTCTGGTTCGCCAGAAGCGGCTTCGTCATGCTGGCCACATGACCCGGAAGCTGTACGCCGGCTCCCTCGGCCAATAAAGCAAGATGAGTGCCGCAACCCCAGAGTTGCTCACGACTGGACCTAATGGTCAGGGGTCCCTTTACCTTTACCTCAGGTTACAGACGCTTCGGGCTGCGCGTTTTCGGGTTGCGAACTGTGCCAAACCCAGAAGTACTGGAACAGGTTACTTCCATGTTTCGGCGCTCGCGCATGCACAGAAGCACTAAATCGCACTTTGTGCATGTGCAGAAGCCGTGAATCGCAACCCGTGCGTGCGCAGACGCGACACTATGGGTTGTGAACGCTGTGGGTTGCGAACGTGTCTCCCGCACGGATCACGTTCACAACCTGAGTGTCCACTGTACAGGTAACTCCCCACTTGCACATGATGTACTTCTGTGCAACTGCGTACACATGCGGCACAGGGAACCCAGAAAGGGAAGTGGACCCTCCGCAGAGCCTCTCCCAGGTGCTCCCCACTTCTAGGTTCCACTTCCGGGTTTCCAGCGCTGTGGGGTCCTCAGTCACACACAAGCAGATCATGTGGTAGTGGGGAGCTGCTTGTATTATTATTCTTTAAAATTTGCTTTTCACCCTTCCTTAAAAACTGTGATGTTGGTCAGCCTGGAGAAATCTGCTTTGTGGCCCAATTTTGAACCCTTGCCATTGTTTGCAAAAGTGTTTTGGGTGGTTTTTAATTGCTTTTAATAGGCTTTCCACCTTATTTTAAATTGTATTGTTTTGACATTTCGATGTGTGCCACTCTGAGCTACTTTGTTTTTGGGTTTTTTAATAATCTTCATTAATTTAAATTACACACATATACAAAGAATTTACAATCTCATACTACAATAAGAAAATTAAAGAAAAAAGAATTAAGAAAAAAGAAAAGAAGAAAATACAGAAAAAGAAAGAAGAAAAAGCAGATTTATGTGCACAAAGAAACTTAATCTTTCTAATTAATACTTAAATAAACACTTAAATAAAAAAGACCTCTGAGAAAACGAGTCTTCCAATCATTCTCACTGTACTGTTTATACTGTCATCGTTTCTTTCGCACAGTTTTATATTCTTTAATATTGTTCCCATCTACTCCACAAACGGTATTTATTGTGTTTACAAGTATCACTCAAGTTCGGCTAATATGGTGCGGTTGGTACAATATGATCATATATAAACTGGACTACTTTGGGTGGGATGCAGATTGAATAAACAAAGAACATGGCCAGCAGGCCAAAGGGTTTCCCCATCACTGGGTAAAATAGCTGTTGTTGTTGTTTAGTCGTTTAGTGGTGTCCGACTCTTCGTGACCCCATGGACCCAGGTAAAATAGCGAGGCCCTTGCAAAATGCCAATACCAACTGACCTTTCTTCGCCTCTTACTGTCTCTTAAACAGGGTTGTTTGCTACTTACGCAGAACTCTTTTGATTTGATTTGCATCTGAAGACGTCAACAGCAAGGCAGGAGTGGCCGTGAAAGATGCCTCAAGTCTGGACCAGCAGTGGGACCCGCTTCTTGTTTTAACGCCCCCTCTCAAAGAGACCCAAATATGGCGCCACATCAGACATTCAGGGAACGGATCCTTTCTGGATTCCTCAGGAAAGAACTCCTATTCAGCGCTGCGTTCACCATCAGGCTCGCTCTTGTCTTCTACGGAGTTTATCAGGACAGGACGATGCTGGTGAAATATACGGACATTGACTATCAGGTCTTCACCGACGGCGCCAAGTACGTCACGGAAAGGAAATCTCCCTACCTGAGAGCCACTTACCGTTACACCCCGCTCCTGGCCTTGATCTTAACCCCAAATGTTCACTTGACTGATCTGTACGGAAAGATCCTTTTCGTGGCTGGGGATATGGTTGCCGCTTACCTCATCTATGAGATCCTTTTGCTCAGAGGCCTGGGGGACAGAGAGGCTTGTGGCTGCTGTGCCTTCTGGCTCCTCAATCCCTTGCCGATGACCGTGTCCAGCCGGGGCAACGCAGAATCTCTCGTCGCAAGCCTGGTCCTTGGCACCATGTACTACGTGGAGAAGAGGCGCTTGGCGACGGCGGCCGTTCTTTACGGCCTCTCCGTACATATGAAGATTTACCCGGCGACCTATGCGCTGCCGTTAGCCCTCCATCTGCAAAGCTGCGGGAACCCCGAGCGAAGAGAAGCAAACATTTCGAAGCGGAAGCTCTCGCTCACCGGCGACTTCCTGCGGCCTCTCTTAAGGCTGTTGTCCAGCCGCGACGTCCTGGTTTTCGGGACGGTGGCCGGTTCCACGTTTGCAGCCCTGGGCCTCGCGTTTTACCTCCGTTACGGCTGGGAGTTTCTGGAGCACACCTACCTCTACCACCTGACGCGCAGAGACATCCGCCACAACTTCTCGCCTTACTTTTACATGCTGTACCTGACGGCGGAAAGCGAGTGGAGTTTCCCCCTCGGACTTGCGGCCTTCCTCCCGCAGCTCCTCCTCCTGCTGGTCATATCCTTGGCGTATTACCAGGACCTTGTCTTCTGCTGCTTCCTGCAGACTGCGGTGTTTGTGAGCTTCAACAAAGTGTGCACATCCCAGTATTTCCTCTGGTACCTTTGCCTCCTTCCACCTGTCTTGCCTCGCTTGAGGATGTCTTGGGTACGGGCCGCCACGCTTCTCCTACTGTGGCTTCTTGGGCAGGGCCTGTGGTTGGCACCAGCCTATTTTCTGGAGTTCAAAGGGCAAAACACTTTCTTGCTCATCTGGCTAGCAGGCTTGCTCTTTCTCCTTATCAACTGCGTGGTCCTCGTTCAGATTATTTCTCACTATTGTACGGCACAGGTGACCAGGAAAGTGAAGCAGCGGTGAGGCCTGACTCCTCACAAAGGAGGAATCCTGCAGGTGTTTCTCTGAGAGGAGTTATTCATTGAGCAAGACTGGATAACAACAGACATTTTTTTAAAAGTTTGGGGGATTTCTTTTTCGGTATCGTTTTTGCACCGTTTTGGAAACTCTCGCCCTTCTTTTTGAGAAAGGCGAAGGCTTTTCTTTTGAGGTCTGCTTCTTCTGAAACATGACTATTGATGTGTATTCATTTGTTACGTAACTGGTTCCCATTTCTTTCTTTCTTTTTTTAAAATAAATGAATTTTATTAGTATTTTCCACACCACAACAACAACAACATGAAAGATATCAAAAGATAACGATACACAACACTCAAAAATCAACATTCAAAAACTAAAAAAGACAAAATGAAAAACAAAAAACCCCAAACAAATCCATATCTTACAAGTTAATATTATAAACACTAAAACAACAACAAGAAATTGACTTCCATCCATCCCACAGCACCTCCTTTATCTCTCATTCTGTCTTCCTGTTTTCCTGTTTTCTTTATCCTCTCTATCCTAACATCTAGATATAAATCCTTCTTTCATATCCTTTTACTTCACAAGGTTATTCCAGACTCAGCCAGATTTCTGCCCTCGAACCTTGGCTTTTGAGGTATTCATTTGGCACTCCCATTCTTTTTTTACTTCACTTTTTGGTTTTTGTCTTATTATATCTGTCAATTTGGCTAATTCTAAGTATTCTGAGAGCTTACATAGCCACTCTCCCCTAGTGGGTAACTGATTCCCTTTCCAGTACTTAGCCACCAGGATTCTTGCTGCAGACATTGTGTATAAGAAAAAAATAGTTTTGTCTTTTGGAATATCGTCATTTATAAATTCCTAAAAGGAATGCCTCTGGCTTTTTACTATATGATATTCTTAATATTTTCTTTATTTCTTCGTGGATCATGCTCCAAAATTTCCCAATTCCGGGGCATGTCCACCACATATGGTAGAAGGTTCCTTTTTGTATCTTGCATCTCTAGTACTTATTATTATATGTTTTATTCATTTTTGAATAAAATGAATAAAACTGGTTCCCATTTCTACTGCATTGCACTGTTCAGATAGTTTAACGGCACTTGATGTCAGGAGCTGGAGTCTGGAGTAGGTCAGCAATAAAAAAAACACAGGTGTCATGGAAGTTCACTCTTTATTCAAAGAAACCAAAACAGCTCAGGCCTAGTATCACAGCAACTCTTCTCTGTAGGTCTGGCCCCAATGAGGCAGTTGCAAGGACTGGAGGTCCTCGCCTTCCCACCACTCTCTAAGACTCCTCCTCTCTCTGGTTCTTCCACAGCAACAGCAAGCTGAGGCTCTGTCTAGTCTCTCTTTGCTCTGCCCTCTATGGGAGACCAGGGAGGAGAGGAGCTGGTCGCAGCAGGAAAGGAAGACTCCCTGGTTTCTTCAGCAGCCCACCTCATCTCCGTCTCCTGGTCCCCCTCCTCTCCAGCCTCTGATTCTGGACTGCTCTCTGCCACAGCTCTTCCTGCTCACTAAAGCCTGTTGCCTCTCCAGCTTTCGACACCATCTCCTCCCAGTCTGCCCCCTCTTCTCCCTCTGACCACTCATCACCATCTCACCTCCAGTCCCCTGGCTCAGAGCCTTCTTCCCTAGCTGGTGCCTCCCACCATTCCTCTGTGTCCAGCACAGGTGTAATATGTGCAAGTCCAGGTGTAATATTGTATTTGCCCCAAAGTGCCGACTGGACTCTCCACATATGAATCAGCCCTTCTCTGTGTTTCCCACTTGCGGGGAACGCAGGGGGCTTGGTCAGGCAAGAAGGGTCTTGTCAGTGTTGGCCCCCTTGCCTATGGAATGTTCTTTCTACCATCTCTGGCAGCTTTTAGGTACCAGGCTAAGCTTTTTCCTGTTTATCCAGGTCTTTTGTTAATTAATAATGCTGCCTCCTGTGGTGGTGCTCATCTTATAGATGGGTGGTTAGGACTAGATCCTTATTTTACTGTGCATTTGTGTATATTGTATTGTTGGCGCTTTAATTTTTCTCTCCTCTTAATTTTTTTTTCATATACTGCGTTTCATTTGTTTGTCAAGTCACTGAGACTGTAAAAAGCCACCAATAAAAGAGAATAATAATAATAATAATAATAGACGTTTATTCACATTTACACCACATTCTTGACCTACTGCTCTGTCAATTGGCTAGCCATGTAGCTGGCAAGTACAAAGGTTTTGATGTTGCTGTTGCAAGTGTTTAACCTCTGCCTGGCTGCATTGCTAAGCACTCCCGAGAAACCCCCGTAGGTCAAAGAGCCTTCTGGGTCAATGGAGTAAATTCTCTGGAAAATTAAACTAAAGTAATTTCAGGGAGTTTCCAAGCGATTGTTCTAAGTTTCTTCATTCTCTCTCTTCTGTAGAAGTTGTTGAGTTTCCTCCATCCCACAATAGCAGCCGTTGCTGCAATAACACAATTGCTCTGGAAAGCAAATCTTTATGAGCCCCTGAGCTGAAGCTATTCTTGTGATGGTTGATTTTGAAATTGATTCCTTTTTTTGTGTTTGTTTTTCTTTCGTGTAATGTATTCCTTTGTTTGTTTGTTTGTTTTTATGCCCCTTTTAGCATTTTTTTTTTGGCGTGTTGAAAACCAGCATACCAGGAAAATTATGAATGAACACATATGTATTTAGGACCAATCTTGTTTTTATGATTGTAAATTGCTTTGCATATTTTCTAATATTCTGTTTTAATGCTGTAACCCACCCTGGGACCTTCCCTTTGTGTCAGGTTGGAAAACTGCCCCACCTGTCCCTTACTGTACAGGAAAACACTGCCGGACATTTTCCATTTGATTTAATTTTGATTTATTATATTTCAATGCCATTTTTCATCCAAATGAATCCCAAAGCGTCTTGCAAACAATAAACAACAATAGCACAGTAGCACATAATGGAACATCACAAATACAGCCCAAATCATATAGAATGATTAACAAATTGTCGTTGAAACAATTCCAATCTATAAAACACTGTTAACGAAGCAACAAGAAGAAGCTAAGGCAAATGTCACATTATCCGCTTAACAATTCGATACAGCATTTATAATCTATAAAACAACATTAGCAGCATTAACGAAAAAGAAGATAAACTAAGCGCTATTAAGCAAGCCAAGTACTGTTGCCTGGTTGCATTACTGGAGTTTTTCATGGATAAACCAATTTATCATGTGATGTAGTACTGTGTTTAGTTCTAATATCTGGGAATGCTGAACCCCCTGCTCTTACCAATCTTATAAAAAGTGTTTTGGCTGCTCTGCTTAGTCTTCCCCTTGACCAAAACAGAAATCTAACAGAAGTTTTGAGGCACAGTTCTTTTCTTTCACCACTGGGTGTCAGTGTCAGGCTACTGTCTTTGGCTAGGAGCTTCCTTGCTCTGTGGGAGAAGCACTGCCTGTTTTGGCCAAATTTCCCAAGGGAAATGCTCCAGGTCTGTTATTGTTGTTTAGTGTGTAGCTGGACATAAAATGTGAAGTTGGGAAAAATGTGTGCTTTTGGAAAGCTGATGATCTGCAGCGGGAAAAAGGGCACGTTAAGGCTATCTTAAATGTCAAGCAATTTCAGGGACAACACGTGCACAAATTATGTGAGAGTAGAATGAACTCGGTTCCTTACTTAAAAGACGCAAACCATATTAAAACACCACCTTCTTTTTAAGCAGTATAGTGGTACCTTGGTTCCCAAACTTAATCTGTTTCGGAAGTCTGTTCCAAAACCAAAGCGTTCCAAAACCAAGGTGCGCTTTCCCATAGAAAGTAATGCAAAACAGATTAATCCGTTCCTGACTTTTAAAAACAACCCCTAGAACAGCAGTTTAACATGGATTTTACTATCTAACGAGACGAGTGATCCATAAAATGAAAGCAACAATCAATGTGCTGTACTGTAAAGTAAATAAGACAGTATTGTAGATGATAAAAATAAAAATTAATTTTTTTCCTTACCTGCACTGATGATAGTCATTGTTTGGATGGGGGGCTTTTATCCATTTCCGCAGTCAATCAATCAGTAGCTGAACTGGGTTCCCACACAGCCACAAAAACAAATTAACTGAAAAAGCCTCAAAAACAAAAACACAAAATAAACAGCAAAACCAAAAGCTCCAAACTTAATCCATTCCGGAAGTCTGTTTGACTTCCGAAATGTTCGAAAACCAAGGCGCAGCTTCTGATTGGTGCAGGCGCCCTGGAAACAATAGCCGACAGCCACATTGGACGTTCAGCTTCCGAAAAACATTTGAAAACCGGAACACACACTTCTGGGCTTTTGGCATTTGGGAAACAGGCGTTTGAGAATCAAGGTACCACTGTATTACTCTATGTTTTTAACAGCTCAGATTGAGTATCAGGTGGTACATCTTCCACTTTGAAACTGAAAAGCTTTTCAAAGGGGTCTAATTTGCATTTGTAAGGTCTTTAAAACATGCACTAAACATCTCTGGTATGTTTGGACCCTTAATGCAGTGTTTCCCAACCTTGGGCCTCCAGCTGTTTTTGAACTACAATTCCCATCATCCCTGACCACTGGTCTTGCTAGCTAGGGATGATGGGAGGCTGGAGGCCCAAGGTTGGGAAACACTGCCTTAATGCATATTGCAGAGGGTTTGGTCCCCCTGCCCCCCCGCTCAGCAAGTGTAAGTGTGTCTGGAAAAGCTTTACCCACCCCATAAGAATTTATACAGTATCTATTGTGGCATTCACAGTGCAGGTGATTCCTGCCCCCCTTTGCAGCTGCACATTGAGATCTGAAAGATGACCAGTGGTATCAACAAGGAAAATAAGGTAAAGGTAAAGGGACACGGGTGGCACTGTGGGTTAAACCACAGAGCCTAGGACTTGCCGATCAGAAGGTCGGCGGTTCGAATCCCCGCGACGGGGTGAGCTCCTGTTGCTCGGTCCCTGCTCCTGCCCACCTAGCAGTTCAAAGTGCAAGTAGATAAATAGGTACCGCTCCAGCAGGAAGGTAAACGGCGTTTCCGTGCACTGCTCTGGTTCGCCAGAAGCGGCTTAGTCATGCTGGCCACATGACCCGGAAGCTGTATGCTGGTTCCCTCGGCCAATAAAGCGAGATGAGCGCCGCAACCCCAGAGTCGGCCACGACTGGACCTAGTAGTCAGGGGTCCCTTTACCTTTACCTTTAAAGGACCCCTGGACAGTTAAGTCCAGTCAAAAGTGAGTGTGGGGTTGCGGCACTCATCTCGCTTTCAGGCCAAGGGAGCCGGCGTTTGTCCACAGACATCTTTCCAGGTCACGT